GGAATATGATGCTTCCAGTGTTCAGAGCCTTGAAGGGAACACAAAAAGCAATTCAGGCAACGTTGCAAAACGCTCACAGTGTGATTATGTGGCAAGAGCACGACAAGGAACCATGGGGAAGAGCCTGACTTGACTTCTACCACCTTCTGCAGACACCCAATGTGCACTGAGCACAGTGCAGAAGCTCCCAGGGAACAGCTGTGCCTTTGGGAGCCTTTGGAAGTTAGTCAGCTCCACAAAAAAGAAAAAAAAAAAGCCATTTAACCTGCCATTTCCAGCCTCCTCTGAAGGTAAAGCTCATTTTTTGGGAGGTGGTGGCTCTAAGTTGTCACCCTGCTCTGTCTGCAGCAGTGTCAGCTCTGGGTATGAACATGGAAAAGCTAATTTAAGCCTCAGATTAAGGAGGAACTTCCAGTCTTTGTAGTTTTGGAGGACTTTTTAAGTGCTTCAGCCTTCAAGAACTGACTCCTTGCTAAGGCTTGGGATAGAGGAGCAGGACACAGGATAAACAAGCATCTCCATGGGATAAATAGGAATTTACACAGGGTAAATAAGCACTTACACAGGATAGGAGGGAGGAAAGTTGTCCCTAAAAGGACAAAATTTGCTTCCCTGATCAAACCAGCAGTGAGAGCTCTTATAATTTAAGGAGGTGACCACCAAAACAGTTGGTAAGACCACAAACCTCCCCAGAGCTCAGAAACCTGATGCTTTGCAAGGTTCTTTGGAAGGAACAGGGAGGTCGTAACACTTTATAAGAGAGATCAGCATATTTGGAAAAGAAAACACCCCCAAATTTCTTCTGAATGGCCCTAAAAATGTCACCTCCAAGGGGTTGTTTGATGGCTCATACAGAGCTTTGAACCATCCAAGAACCCTCTGTCTCCTCCAGCCATTGCTCCTCAAGGCTCAGTGGAGCTTCCTCTTCTTCCTCCTCTTCCAGATCCCAAACCAGATCTGAGGGAATTCAACCCCAGGCTGAGCCAGGCACAGGGAATCTCCCTCCCCTAGCTACACTTCTTTCCTACCCCAAAGTTTTGTTTAGAGCAGGTTTGGTTTTATGCAGATTTTGGGCTTTCTGTACAGGGATTTTCCTGCTCCAGCAGATGAGTTGATTGTTTAATTAACCTCGAGGGGATCTGATGAAGAAGTCAAGAGGTGAACCAACTCCCATCCTAACCCCAGGGGTTATAACCTCTCCATGAAGAAAATTTCACTGTTTATGGAGATGATCTTGGCTCTGAGGAGGGGAAGACTTAGCTAACCTCCCCCAGTCCTTCCTTGCCTTGTCTTCCTTAGCATTAAAGCAGATTATTTCCTCTCAAAGTTTCTAGCTGTAATGTGAAGATGTTTAATCCTTTCAACCCCCTCTAAGGTATAAAAATGTTTCTTGAAGTATTTAACAATCACTTTACAAGAGATAACCTTGAACTCCTTAAGGATTTGATATCAGCTTTAGTCTCAAACTCTCTGCAAAGTTGATTTGACTCTTTTTTTTTTTTAACCCACCTTAGAGAGATCTAGGAAGTAACATAAAAGTCCAACAAAAATCCCCAACCCATTGTGATTTTTAGCTGGGAATATGACCCCAAAAGTGGTGAAACAAGTGATAAACATACTCACAATAAATAATCTGGCATTTCTGAAGTGGATGTTGGGACACTAGAATTATTGCATGTTCCATTTAAACCTGAAAAGATAAAAGACTTGTTTACACACATCCTTAAAACTTCAAAGCTCTTTGCAATTCAACTCCAAACTCATCAACTTGTCTGCAACACACAGTTTATAGAATTCTAAGGGATTTCTGTTTGGCTTGGAACTGACAGAGACAAGAGCCACAACAAGGTGGTTGAAAGTTCAAGGCTTCTCTAGTATTTGTCTGTCAGCAAAACAACCTCAACCTCAGCCAATGCACTGAAGCAGCTGAAAAAATCTGCATTTCTTTGGTATATAAACAGTGCCTGCAGTGGGACAACACTGATAGCACCACTGGGAACCAGCAAAACACAGCCCTGAGCCCAGGGAACAGAGAGCTGAGCAAGGTGAACATTCCTTCCTCCTGTTTTCTCCCCCCTGGGGATTCCTAGGTGAACATTCCAGGCTCAGATTCCTGCTATGAATATTCCACAGCAGCACAGAGAGGGTTAGAGGGAATGCAGCTCTCCAGCCAAATCCAAGTGCTCCTTGCCCTAGGAAGTGGAAGCAGCTTGGAATGGTCAGGAAGGTTTGTAAGTGAAGGAACAGGATTTGGAATGAGCCTAAACCAGATCCATGTAAACCTAACTCTGCAGGAGGAGTTTGGAGAAGGAAGAAAAGAGGTGGAGACAGGTTTAGAGAGGGATATTTCTTGGATATTGTGTGTTATACTCTGAGTCCTCACCAGGGAGTGAACTGCATCACGTGGCAGCAGAGCAAAGGGTTTAACTCCACCACTTGGCAAAACCTCTTCTGTCTTTCCTCCTCTTCCCAAGTCTTTTCCTTGGAGCAAGGAGCACCCTGAGTGCTCAGCTCCTCCAGGGGCACAAGGTGAGAGCCCAGGCCTTGCCCTCCCCACACTCACCTCCACTATTCCCTCTCAAGGATTATCCCAGAGGAGCTGTTGGGAGCATGGAATGCCCAATGGACACAGATATGGAAAGCAATAAGCTCATTAGAGCTTGCAAAGATGGATTTTCCTCTCCATTTCCACAGCAAAGCTTTCCTGGGCACAGTGGGAGGATGGCACAACTCCAGTGTCTACAAGAACATCCCAGTGGATTCATGTTGCAGACAATTCCTCCTTCCCTGACCACAAGGTTTAAGGATTGTGAAGGAAAGAGGGAGACAAGGAGGTTTGGTTTGCCTGTGAGTGCCACCTACTGACTGCTGAGAGGACCCCAAAGGTCCCTCCAAAGCCTCTGGAACAAACCTCCCAGGAGAAAAAATTCCACTTGCCGTGGATAATGGCCCTGCACGTGTCATGGGGTTGGAATGAGATGAGCTTTAAGGTCCTTCCAACACAAACCATTCCATGAGTCTATGAAAATCTTCCTCCCTACAGCCCAAGTGGGATGGGGGAAGGAGCAGGATGAGGTTGGTGTTGTCCACATGAAGGCACAAGAGGAAAAGATTCCAGTTCTGGCTGTTATGGGATCCAAGCAGAACTGACCACATCCTGTTTGGGATTTCTCCCAATCCAGCCTGGATTTCTTACCTCACCTAGAATAACAGGAACAAAGCCAACTCCTACTAATGAACAAAAATCCAGTCATTCTCTGGGTGCAAAGTGAAGCACAAAAGGTGTGGAGGGTCAGGAAGTTCACCAGGAAAGAATCTGAGCTATTTGGGGTCAAAAATATACATCCAAGAGAGAACAAGTGTGTGTGTGTGTGTGTCTATCCAGAACCACTCCAGAGGCACATGGAGGAGAAAACCAAGATGCAAGAAAAACAACATTCACAAAAAACTCCTGGGATTGAGGCAGAAGTAAGGTCAAAGGAGAAGAGTTCTCTCATCCTGCAGTGCCACACAAGCATCAGACCCAGGGACTGTCCTTAAAAATCACTGCTGAGCCATGAAAATCCATTTTGTCATCTCTACAAAGGCTGTGAGGAAGGTAAGAGCTGATAGCAGCTCAACCCCAGTGCCCTGGGAAGTTTTCCCTTGCCAGGAACCCACCAAAGCAGTTGCTATTTCAAGGTGTTGTCCTTTCTGAGCCCAAATTTTCATTTGAGATGATTTTCATGCACCAAGAGGAATACAGAAAGTACAAACAGGGCAGAGGAAAATGAGGTGGAGGCTAAAAGAAACCTAACAGCTCTTCCTAGAGGCTGCAGGGATGTCCCAGGGCTCTGGGGAGCTGTGAACAACAGCAGAAAACAGGGAAGCAGCAGGAAAGGGAATGGATGGATTAATAACCAGGAGAGATTCTCTGCTCTGACTGAGTACACAGAAGTGACTTTGAAATAGTGACTGGCTGGAAAATGTCTTTGTCACACCCCAATGAGTCCAAGATTCACTGCTGTGTTAGTCCCTGAATAAATTCAGAGGCCTAGTGGGATATGTGGAAGCTCTTCCAGGCTGGAATTGCTGGTTCTAAACTGCTTTCCCAGCATTTATCACTAGATTTATCTATCATTTCTCTTGGATCCAATATGAAAAGCTTTTATGAGTAACTTTTCATTTAAAAAAAAAAATCAAACCAAGACTCATCACCTCACCAAAGCTAAGCCAAGCAGCTCTGCTCTTCCCAGATCCTGCTTTGGGCCTTTCATCCCCAGCTTTTAATTTAACCAGGAGAACCATGACAAGGTGAAACAGGAAAAACCTGATAATCCTCTGTGGAGAGGAAGCACATTTGGTGATTTGTAGGTAGGACAGGGCTGGCATTTTGCTCACCACAGAGTGGACACATCATTCCTCAGAGAGATCAGAGCTCAATCACACCCAACACACCTCAAATCACCTCTGGGTCCTCTCAGAGTGGACACACTGTTCTTTCCTCAAAGAGATCAGAACTCAATCACACCCAACATACCCCAAACCATCTCTGGGGCCTCACATTGTTCCTCACAGAGATCAGAGCTCAATCACACCCAGAACACTTTAAACCATCTCTGGTCCCTCTCAGAGTGGACACATTGTTCTTTCCTCAGAGACCAGAGCTCAATCACACCCAGAACACTTTAAACCATCTCTGGTCCCTCTCAGAGTGGACACATTGTTCTTTCCTCAGAGACCAGAGCTCAATCACACCCAGAACACTTTAAACCATCTCTGGTCCCTCTCAGAGTGGACACATTGTTCTTTCCTCAGAGACCAGAGCTCAATCACACCCAGAACACTTTAAACCATCTCTGGTCCCTCTCAGAGTGGACACATTGTTCTTTCCTCAGAGACCAGAGCTCAATCACACCCAACACACCTCAAATCACCTCTGAGCACTCTCAGAGTGGACACATTGTTCTTTCCTCAAATTGATCACAGCTCAATCACCCCTAACACATCCCAAATCACCTCTGGGCACTCTCAGAGTGGAAACATTATTCTTTCCTCAAAGAGATCAGAGCTCAATCACACCCAAAACACTCTAAACCATCTTTGGTCCCTCTCAGAGGGGACACATTGTTCCTCACAGTGATCAGAGCTCAATCACACCCAACACACCTCAAATCACCTCTGTGCCCTCTCAGCCCACACATACCTGTGACCTGCTCCTGGGGAACACTACCTAAGTCAGCAGTTTTTATGACTTCACAGTTCTGCTTCTCCTCTTTGCATTTCTCTTCGGTTTTCTTCTCCTTCCTCTCTTTCTCTTTGTCTTTGTGCTTTTTGGATTTCTTCTTGCTTTTTACATAGGAGCTGCAATTGTGCTTGGTGCTGGTCTGGGGACAGTCTGTGGGCAGGGGGTGGCTCAGTCTGTCAGGTTGCTCTGCACTCTCACAGTCTCTGCCGTTGTGAGTTAGGTCGTTGCTGACATCTGAGAGGGGATCGTGGGGTCTGGGCAGCTCCAGCACGGGGAGGTTGGAGCTGGAGCTCATCGACTCCGGCAGCGCCGGAGGGAGGGCAGGGGGGGCTGGGGTGTCCTTCCCGTTGGAGGAATTCAGCTTCCCGTTGAAAGTGGGTTGAGTTCTGTGAGCTAAATGGGAGATCCTGGGCTTTTTGTTGGCCAAGGGATCGATAAATTCCAGAGGTTGGGATCGTTTCTAGGGAAAGGAAAAAAAAAAGGAGAAAAAAAAGAGGCATGTTGAAGGTTGTGGATCTGGTTGCCACTAGGTGGTGGTGCAATACAGGGAAGTGGGAGATTCCCGGGAAAAGCAGCTGATCCATCCCAACCTGCTTTGCCAACAGCTGCTCCAGAGCTTGGTGGGAGAGCTTGAAAAATCCTAAGAGTTTTAAGGGTTGGAATGGAGCTTAGAGATCATCTAATCCCAACTCCCTGCCCTGGGCAGGGACATCTCCCATCAGAGCAGGTTGCTCAAGCCTCATCCATCCCATCATCATAGAATCAACCTGGTTGGA